GCCTCCCTGCTCTGTAAATAAGAAATTGGAGGTTCATAGAAGTTAAAGGATTTGCCCCAGGACCTTCATTTAGTCTGGAATAAGCCCAGAATTCAAACCTAGATCTCCGGAAGCCCAGTGTTTGATGAGACATAGTTTAGAGCTTAATGCTATCCTGTTTTGATCTGCATTTAATGTATCTTGGATCTCCAACTAGATCTGAAGCCCCTACCAGTAAACCACTACTCAACAGGCACATATCATTGACTTCCAAAGTAGCCAACTCTGAGACCTGAGGTGGTTGAGGTTGTGGGAGGGGGTGAGAGCTCCCAAAGACAGTGCCTGGAGGGCTAATTCCAGAGCTCTAAATATGTCAGTCAGGGCCCTGGAAACAGAGCCCACCCTGCTGGGTCAGAGGAGGACACTTCAGCAAATGGATTACTTACAGAGTAGGCAAGATTTGGGTAACAAACAAGGGCTGGTGTGTCACCCAGAAACTAGCCCCAGTGGGAAGCAGTTACTACCTAGGAAGAAATGTATTTCCTGGAGCCCCGGGAGAGAGGATGAAGGACCAAGTCCCCCCCCTCATCAAGCTAAAACACAGCTACTGCCGGGAATGTAGAGTAAGGACCAGAAGGAGGTGGTATGAAACACCCTAATGTCCCTCTCCTTCCATCCTCTCATCTCCGGCCTGTGTCTGGGAAGCCAACCAGAAGCCAAGCCGGAAGCTCGGGGGACCAGAGAATGCATTCCGCAGTCTCTGGGCACAAAGCAGAGCATGGGAACCTATTTGTATCCCTCTTTTTAACTGGGAGAAGTAAAACTCAGGATGAGTTTTTATCCAAAGATAGTACAGCTGGCAACTCATAGGGCTGAGATTGGAGACCAGGTTTACTTCATGGAGCCTTCTGGAATAGCTTTCTTGGTTCTTAGCCATTCCTGCCTGAAGCCCGTTGTGTTTTCATGCCTGCTTTATGTGTTCCCTGGAGATTGCAGTCATCCCATCATGTGTAATGCACCATGCTGGGTGGGGTTTCTCACAGCCCTTTCCTGTACATCATCTCATAGGATTCTCTCAGCAACCCTTGAGCTGGACAGGGCAGCCTGTTAATGCCTGACCCCTCCTCTGTGTATAAATTCCTTCATCAAGATGCTGCCTATGTGTGACTCCCTTAGGAATACCAGTTCACACAGTGCCTCGCACATGATATGGCTTAATATTCGGATATTATTACTAGTGATGATGGTAACTATTAGTTACTGAGCTGTCCGTGCATGCTACACACCATGCTACATGCAGTATGTGCATAGTTCATTTAAATGTCCCAACATTCTTGTGAGGTCAGAAGCGCCATTCTTCTCATTTTAGAGTTCTCCTTCCCGACTGAGTCTGGGAGCTGGTGGATCCACCTGTCTATTCTCAGAACACTTTTGACATATCTGTAGTATATTGTGTAGTCTTTTTTTGTTGTTTTCATTTATGCTCCACCCAAAACCTCTTACAGAGTGTTATATTAGAAGGAACCCCAACATTGAAATCCAAAAGGACAATGTTTATATTTCCTCTATGTCTTACAGCTTCCTTGAGGTTTGGGGAGGTCACTTGACCTTCTGACCTATGTTTCCTTATATGTAAAATAAGAGAGATAATTCTTACTTCCCAGGATTGTGGTATGGGCTAAATCATATGACATATAAGAGAATTTCTAGCATATAGTAAGTTCCCAAGAAAATGATTGACTCCCTCATTGACAGGTTTCCAACAGCGACTTGCTAGGTCAGGGGGCCGATATTAGGCAGAGCCCCAAAAAGTACCACATTCACATCTTCTGACTCTGCCACCAGAGCTGTCGCCTGGGCCTGTATTCAGTCTACATAACAGCAATGGATAGTCTTCGGGAAAATGAGACCCCGAGGCACGCTGTCTGGTGCCAGGAGTGCTTGGACTTGGTGCAATTTTTCAGAGCTTGACTCAGAGAGTCCGGTCTCACAGGAGAAACATACTTGATAAAATTGGAGTTTTATTTCCCCAAAGATATTGCCATGTGGCTAGTCTTACTCTCTTTCATTTGTCATGTGAAGCTACCACCAGCAGCCCCAAGCAGAAATGCTCCTGAAACACACGTATTGGCTCTTTTCATTCTTTTTTCTACGCTGCCATATTCTACCAGAGAGTTCTTCGATAGCTACGTGGAACCAGGAAGAAAAGGGGGCCATTAGCTAGTCAGCACTACTCTGTGCCAGGAATTATTGCTATAGGATGTTGCAGAAATTCTAAGAGCTAGGGACTGTTAGGACGCTATAGAGACCGAGTCGTTAAGGCTACTCTTCCTGACCAAAGGTGCATCCCTATCCCATGTCCCCTCATGTCCTCCAGTAGAAAGAAATTAAACCAAAAGGAGGGGCTTTCCCTCCCCTTTACACAGCCCTTCCCGTCCTTATGTTTATCATGGGGCATCATCTTCTTCTCTCCTTTGTGTATGTCTGGGTACCTGAGGCTGAAGTTGAGGCTGAATTGGGGTGGCAGTATAAGCTATTTTACTCCAAATCCAGCCAAGAATACAGATTTCAAAGTCAAGTTTCCCTAGGTCCAAAGCCTGGCTTGTCTACTACCTGAGTGAGGGAAGCCCATTTCACCTTTTTTGAGTGCCTGCTTTATTCTGGGCTTCATTCTCGACACAGTGCAAAGGAATGAACAAAACAAAGTTCCATGAACAACTGAGCTTTTGTTCTAGCGGGCAAAGGCAGACAGTCAACAAAGGAATACATACGGCAGATGGTGGGAAGCGCCATGAGAAAAGAGACGTAGGGAGAAAGAACGAGAGGCAGTTTGGTGTGGAAGGTGGAGGGGTCGTAGGCAGGGTCTCTAATAGGGTGGCACTGAACAGAAATAGTATTTCCCTGGGATCGAAAAGATGTGCTTTGTTCTTTCCCTTATGTCCTTAAAGTCATCTCTCAGTGAATTCATGGGAAAGCAAGCAGCACATTGAGGCATCCAGGGACCTGTGAGTAAGATGGAGACAGAGGACTTAGTTTTGGGGGTGGGTCACTCTCTTTAACAATTTAGAGGGCAGTCACTGCAGGAAGGACCTTATTATGAAAATGTGTAGCCATCAAGAAAGACTAAAAGTAGAACACTGGGTAAGGTACAGGAGCAAGATGTAGGCCTGCTAGAAAGACACAACATAAAGGACTAATAACCTCTCCCTGCACCAAGAGTCTGGAGAGCTGAGTTGTTGTCTCAGCTTCTTTACCAACTCTGGGCCATCTTGGTACCTTTTTACCAACTCTGTCCTCCCAACTTTCCAGGCATCATTTTCTCATCTGTCAGGTAGGGAATCTGGACTGATTAACTTTAAGGTTTTCTCTGGCTGTAACATTCTGAATGTCTGTGAATGTGTAAGAGACACTTAAGAATGAGTGGACAACTCGAGAGGGAGTGAATTTCCTACTTGGAGGTACCCAAACAGGAACTGGAACACAAACTTTAGGAGACAATCATCCATTTATACTAGAAGTTAATTTTTATTGCAATCTTAAACATACCAGATGTTGTGCGTGGTACTTTAAATAAATTTAATTCTCTCAACCATGTAAGAAAATTATATACACTCGAGGAAGTAGAATTGAGAGGTAAGTAATTTGTCCAAGATTACGGAGAGCTAGGAGTATAAACCAGAGATTCTGATTCCGTGGAGTATTTCCAATACCCAAAGTGAGGCTAATCGAACTACCTCCAGACAAGGAACGCCCTTTGCTGTGCCTTCTGGTTGTATGTATTGCTCTCTAACACCAGTCATTCTCAGAGACTGATGTTGGGCACAAGCTATTCTAAGAATAGCACAGACATCGTTTATCTCCTGGAAACAGGAAATGAGAATGATTTTAGACTTTACTACTCCTAAAAGCCCAGAACCATGGCTGCTGAGAGTTGGGCTTATTCTCACCCTCTGCAGAAGCTAATGGTGATGAAGGGGCTGGAAGCCTCGAAACGCCTAATGCAGAGTCAGCAGCAGCCCTTGAATGTAAAAATCCCTTAACATGTCCTTACCTTCTGAGTTGTAGCCTAGTATGAAACCCATGGTTACCTGTAATTGGCCCCCACAGAGGCTAGTGTAAAAAGTAAGTGTCTTCAATTGGTAACCACAAGATTGCCATGGGGATATGAAAGACTGTTTGGGGAATCGAATCAATAATGTTGTAAAGATTTGTAGGGCATCAGATGGACACTTGTCTTATTAGGAAGACCACTTCGTGAATGGTGTAGGTGCCTGACCACTGCACTGTACACCTGAAGCTGAAGCTGAATAATATTGAATGTCAACTATAATTTAATATATATATATATATATAGTCACAGGATGTGGAGTTCAGCATAGGGAATAGAGTCAGTGGAACTGTAACAGCTATATACGATGTCAGAGGGGTAGTAGATTAGGGGAGGGGGTTATCACTTTGTGAGGGGTATAAATGTCTAGCTAGTACATTTTTTTGTACACCTGAAACTAATTAAAATAATAATAATAATAATAATAATAATAATAATAATAATAAAGTAAATGTCTTTACTTTTAACTTGCATCATATCAACTTTGGGGGACTCTGGATAGTACATTCATGTACCAATAACTTACTGAGTACCTCCTGCCCTCCAGAGACTTTCCTGGGCACTAGAGAGAGAGCAGTGAGCAGAGGAACATCCCTACCTTTTGTGACATTTACCTTCAAATTGACTCACATACATGTCTTCAGTTTATAAAAAGTTTGGAAAAGGGGGGAAACAGATGTATTGATAAATAGAAAGCATTTGGTAGGTACTTTTTTTGAAAGCACAGGAATGATAGGGAAAGGGGTAGGGGAAAATGCAAAGTGTCTGTGGGTAAAACTTACAAACCATAGGCATAAAGTATGATCATCATATTTTCCCAAACAAAAATGGAGACATGCAGTCTGACAGTAGTTTTTATTTTATGTTTAATCTCTAAATTGATTCATGGGCAAACTGTTTCCAGAAGCATGAAAATAAAATCACATTTAGGAATGTATTCCACGACTTGTCTTTATTTAAAATATGAAAACCACATCCAATACAAAACCCAGAAAAGATATTAATAAGAGGACCATATTGTGTTTATCTTGGGATCTCAAATTCTGAGCTGAGTGTGTAGGCATTCTATAAATCTTGGTTAGTCAAATGAATCAGTCAGTGTTCATATATCTGTTTCTATAGCCTTAGAACAGCCAGGGTAAGTATTCCCCTAAAACATCAAGAAGAGGCGAGCACATCAGGTAGAAAAGCCTGGAAGGAGCAAAGAGAAAGGAGTGTGCGTGATAGGTGGTATCAGCTGATGGTATCTGACATGCCTCTGGGACCAGAGGGAATTTTCAAATGAAAACACTAAAGTAAAATCCATGTCTTTCCTTTTAACAGGGCGTTGTTGCTGGTGCTCGTTCCAAAGGAGAACACAAACAGAAAATCTTTTTAACCATCTCCTTTGGAGGAATCAAAATCTTTGATGAGAAGACAGGGGTAAGTAAAAGAAGCACATGGCATTGTGAAATTGAGTCCATTGACAGATGCGCCCTTAAAAGCCTCTACTCAGTGGGCAGGAATATCAAACAAGCATAAAAACATATAAAGCAACTGACAAACTCGATCAACTGTGATCGTCCATCAAAGAGAGGCTCTCTCCCCTGACTTGGCCACAGTGTGACTGCACCATGTTTCTTATAGTGTAATTGTGATAAAAGTGTCACACAGTCTGGTAATCTAATGGGAGATTGATGAGCTTTGAAGAGCGGTGGGTAATGTGACAGTTTAAGTTAAATTTCTCTGTGCGTTGGCAACTTTAATGACACGCATCCTAGAGGGAGATACATGGTGGTCTTTTGACTCGGTCAAAGCATCCAGTCTCTCTTGAGTTTAACCTGTGGAACCTTGTAGTTGTTATAATCAAAAAGAATAAATGGAGTTTTCAATCTTTAAAAAAAAAAAATCTATCACTGCACGACCAGGAAATGGAAGGGCTGATATGTTTAGTTGAATGAACCAAAGAAGTGGTTTGTGTTTTCATCAGGCTACCAGGCAATTAGCTCCCAGGTTCGTCTCCAGGGCTTACCTGACATTGTTGGTCCTGTTCATTGACCGTAAGGGAAAAACAGAAAAATAGTCTATGATCTGTTTTGTCAAGAGGGTGAGAGTCAAATGGCATGTTTTTTTTTCCTTTTATTCATTTATTCACCTCCACATATATCACCTCCTTTGAACGTCACAAGATAATTTATCAAGCACTGTATAAACAATACTCTACTAGCCAAGTTAATTAACCTTAGTCATTCTGCATTATTATTTTCTCCCCTTTGTTCTGACTCGTATTAGGATAAGATATGTGCAGTAGGATGATAATTTAACAATAAAACTGGGCTTTCTTGAAGAACAGTTACCCCTGAATAACTAGTAATGGGAGGGAGCTAGGTAAGAGGCATCAAGCCTAACTGGGAGATACTTTCACAGGGGTTTATATACCCCACACCTATGCCATCATCTTTAGCCTTTTCTCCATTCCATGCCTGCCCATCACCATGACAATTGGCATGGGGCCAAAGGGACTGCAGTGAGGCAGAGCATCAGATGCTTTATCTCACTCCAGGGGCCATGTTTTTGGGCTTTGCTATTCCATCATGTACCCCACCGTCAAACAGGCTGAGCCCAGATAATTAAAGTTCTAATCACTGAATTTTAACTAATGAGGAGAGGTAGTTTGTATTCTTTACCTTTATCTAAATCCTCACTCAAAGGTAGCTCTGCTGGCCCCAAAGAAAGATACCACCGAACCTTGTAACGCTATTTTGATTTTTAAGTTGGACAGAGAGAAAAACAGCAAAATCATTATTTCAACCCAAAGCCATTTGGCTTTGTGGGAAAGGCATCAGATTCCTAGTGGAGAAACAGGATGAAGGGAGAGTTAAATGCTTTCTGTCTGGCTTCATCTACTCGAGTTCTGTTTGATTAACAGGCCTCTGCAGCGCCGGCTTCTGCAACCTTCCCTTGTTAATATACCTGAACACAAAACTGGTGGAGAGAGTTAAACATGTTTAAGACTGAAGTAGAGACGGTAGGGGGCAAGGCACCCCATATCAATAGCGTTCATCTCTCCAGACTTGTGTAGTAGAAGGTGATGATTTGTTCTATGTGACTCAAGGAATAGAACCAAGATCAGGTGATAGAAGTTCCTAGGAAGCAGTTTCAGCTCATGAGTAAGAAGAATTTTCTACCAGTCAGAGCTATTCAACAGCTAGGTGGGCCACCTTCTGTGCAGGTGAGTTCACCATCTCTGGGCGTATTCAAGCAACAACCAAATGATGGGGAAACTACGGAAGGGAGTCAAGTAGAAATGAGGTGTTGATCAAAGTCATATCTAAGGCGATAACCAAGATCCCTTTTAAGATTCTGTGTTCCCCTTAAAGTCATCCCTATTGATACAATTTGTCTGCCAATAAATGGAGATTTTTTTTCAAAACCTTCATTGGAGAGTATGAGCAGGAAAAGTTTACTAAACTTTTGTCATTGCCCAGCAGGTGACCAGCTGAGCTGTACAGGATAAGAGTCTAAGTGAAGTATTTTGTTCTAACTATCAAAGAAATGGAAAACTGGGTCTTTGTCATTTGGGATGACTGATTTTAGTTGTTTATCATGTCTAAAGTATTCCTGCTCAAGCTTGAGTGCACTTTTTTTTTAAAAAAACCAAGAAAAGAAACATTTGCAAAACGTGACAGTAGCTAGAATTTTAAAATCCAAAAGCTGTCAAAAATGTTTTGATCCCAATTAAAGAGACCCTTTGCAGCAATTTACACCTTG